GCCCTCACTCCTGATTGGATGGACCTTAATGGTTACGTTTCCTAACTAGTACCTAGGTAACTACCCAGGTGAATCGGACTAGTCGCTAGTCAGCACCTCATCGATATTCAAGTATTGGTTTGTAGGGATTGGATTGTTATTTTAATCGGACTTTCATTTTAAGAAAAGTCTAGCTAAATATTTGGGTTTATGAAGGAAGAGTGAATATACTGATCTCAGTGGAAAAACGTGTGAATATTTTCGTAATTGCATTGATGTATTTCATCTCTATGAGTTTAGTGGTTTGATTGTTTAGCTTTCCTTGTCTGTCTTAACAATATTTCGGGCCATAAATTCGTGGCTGATTCGTTGGTAGGCATCCTTCTTGTTTATCCTTTTTGCCTGCCCATATTATATTCGGTATTGAGTGAAGGCAGCAGGTGATGAAAGCATGCAGCAGCTTGATGAAAAAAATACTTTCAGTGGTGTGCATGACAAATGTCTAAACCATATAGAATAACTTCAAGAAATCAGGAGCTTCTAATATTCTTCAAAAGTGTACTAACGTGACTGATTAATTCCAGAGATCACCACAACATCTCCATTCATAATGGCACTGGCTGTTTGGTTGACCTGATATTTAACCACCCATCTATGAGATTTCTTTCTTACTGTTTGATAAATCTGATTTAGATTAATGCATTTGTTGATCACAGATTTGTTACAGGGATTTATCGTGAGCTGATATTGGTTAGAGAACCACTGGAAAACCCGGGAGTACTGGACAGCTGTTTCATCCTAGTTTAGGGCTATCTAGCACTATCCTTGGTTTAAACTTTGGTGGGTGTGTACTGATAAAGAGTCCCAAACTAGGATCAGAACTAATTTTATAATAATGACTGAGTTCAGTGTTCAAAACATGTATCAGTGAGACTGAAGCATCGATGGATACTTACAAATTATTGTGAAGAGTTAGCAGACATTTTTTATATTTTAAGTGAAAACCATTTTGTCACTAATATTGCCAATTACCTGAAAACTAAATTTTAGCAGACAATCATTTTCGGGACTATGACTTCACTGAATACAATGAGATAAATTGTGCATCCGTTAGAAAAATATGTAAATGGATTGATACTGAAATTTATTTTAGACAATAAAGTAGTTGCAGGTTTGATCACTAGTTAACATCAGTTAGAGAACCACTGGAAAACCTAGGAGTACTGGAGAGCTGTTTCGCCCTAGTTTAGGTCTTTTCATCAGTGTGTACTCACTGGAGTCCGGACATAGGACCTACCATTTACAGGACGAGTTTTTAGACTATTAAGCCACTGAGACCCGATTCATTAGCTCTTGAATTCTTACTTCTGCTCAACAGATTATGCGAATGAATCCACACATCACTATGCAGTAGATTTGCAACAAGAACTATATCACTTATGGATTTTGTCAAAGTACTTTTCATTGTATTCATGAACAGATTACTGTTTTTTACTTTGTATGGAGACTTTGTTAATATTGGTTTAAGTTGTTCAAGGACGAATTATCTATTTGGAACAACTAATTTATGATAAGGTGTACGAATTCCACGTTAACAGTTCTGGATTGAGCGTTACGGATGCACATTCCAGAAGCATTAGAAATAGAACGAGACATTTGCGTGTTTAAGTGCTATTTGGCTTTCAATTGATCAACACTGAAGCCAGAGTTCGTTCATCACTAGAAGAATGCACTAGAAGTGTTGCATGTAAAAATCGGTTTCCTACCACAAAGTAGTTCATCACTCGTTATTTCAAAATCTCCTTAATACTCCACATATTTATGGGCGATTCCGACCACTGAACAGATTGAAGTTACCATTTTTAAGCAGCTTAAACTTTAGGCATCTGGCTTGTCAGTCTTCACTGTCATAGTATTTCTATGTGTTATTCCCATTTTCAGAGGGATTTGAATATGCATCACAAACATAATTGTAGTCTACCGACATATACGCTATAAAAAGTTTGAACATTCGAATTAAGTCGCTTAAGGGAATATTACCAATGGTGTGATATATTTGTTCAGTGTGAAACTATCATGATAAGGGAACCATCTTATAGAGTATTAAAGCATTACATATAGTTCAATAAAGACGTCATTTTTGATGTGTTTTTTTTTTAATTTTGGACAAGAGACCACCAATTTAGAGTATGGAGACAGGATAAAATGTCACTACGTGAATGTCACTCTATATTGGGAAAAATTTACAAGTGACGAAGTTGAAATACGGAATATTATAAAAATTGGACATTAAAATTTTAAGTTATGAATACATATTGCATCTTGGTTGGTGGCCCAATGGTAGGTCGCCGTCAAAATACGCCGTAAATAGTCGGAAATTTAACTGGCAATTCGAATAATTGACAATTCGGGACTGAATCAGGCGAAACAGCTATATACTTTGCTAGACCACATAAAGCACTATACACAGGCAACACCTTTCTGCTATGAATTAATTAGAAAATGAGGATATTTCAACAGTTGCATTCATTTGTTATAGATAAACAATCGTATTTATATTTAACGAAGAATTCGTAAAACCAGATTAGGTTCAAGAAGATGTTTACTGAACATGAGGAATAATCTGGAAGGGAACGCTTGAGAAGAAGTTATGACACAGCAGTTGATCTAAAAATAATAATTAACCGGTATGTACAAAACGAACGGGAGAGAGCGAAATGATGCTGAAGTGTTTAAATGAAATCTGTATAAGAATTGCAGAGTTATTAAAAAAGATACTAATAACCGCAGTGATAAGAAAACAGCTTGAACTTCAAAAGACGACAAGTAGACAGAATTATTGTACAAGTGTTACACTGACTATGGTAAGGTAGCTGAATGGGTGCAACACCTCAGTTTTACAGTATAGAACATCCAGTGATAGATAAATCGTGTTTCCGAATTCCTGTCGTAAAATTCATGGACCCTGTGAATTACTAAAAAGCAGTTTCGAATTGACATTGTCCTCGAAAATAGAATTATTGCTACTTTAGTATGCAATTTGACTAGCAAATCTGGACAGCATTTGAAATAATTTCATGGACTTGAAGCTATATCGGGCTAATATATACTGCCCCATCAGAACAAGCAAAATGACTAATACACACTAAAGTGGCCAGAAGTGGAATTCTATCCTTAACATATAAATACATTATTGCTCATTCAAGTGTTGGTTTGCACTGATTAGAATAGTGACAGGATTTCATCATGAGCTGAAATCGGTCAGAGAACCGCTAAAATGCCTGAGAGTATTGTATAGCTCTTTAGTCCTAGTTCGATACTCTTTAACAGTACGCATTCACTGGGTTTCGAGCCCAAGCCCTTCCGTAGACCATTAAGTCTCTGGCACCCAATCCACTGTTCCATGAATTCCAATCCAGGATTTTAGCGTAACCATTAATTGTAATCAAGAGAATGTGATTCTATAGTTACCTAAGTGGAATATTTTTCTCAGACACTTGGAAGGTCAATTTTTAGGAATTTCGGCTTCAGTAGCGGCTATGAACTCTAAATTTTTGAAGAGAGTTTTTGGGAAAACAGTTGAGACTTTCAGTGATAGCAGATTTTCCTTCACGCTGTGGCTGATGAATATAGGAGAAAACCTGTTTTTAATAGACCATCTTGAGAAGATTTAAATTCAGTCTCTATTGCTTCTTCTGAATAGTATTTCTGAATCCCTCAGTGTAATGGAAATATAATTGTTTTTCGCTGACCAGTGAGGCATAGATCTGGAAGTTAATTAGCTGTTCAGTCCATGTTGGTTTTCTTTAAATTGACCTATGGATAGAGTTATTTGATCTTTCGATAAGTAATACGTCCAAAAATGGAAAAAAGGTGGTTTGATTCTCGTTAAAGAATGAATTTTGTGGAAGTATGAATTGTACTGAAAGCGTTGTGTGGATTACCTATACTTCCCAGTCACATAATACAGAAAAGTAAAGAGTAAATTAACTCTGTGAATGATTATCAACCACTGAAGATATCACTTGGCTTATGTTTCCAAAATTAATTTTGAGGAATATGAAGAGATCACAGTTAACTAACACAAAAATATATTTCCCTTCATTAATAGAATTATTTACTGAAATATATCCCCACCACTGACGCGGTTCCATGGAATCAACGACTAACGTCGACAGAGAATGGTAAGTTTTTTATTCAGTGAATGTAGCGAACAGCTAAGAATCCTTGTAATATCCGTCTATCGTATTTATTTTCACTTGTGCAATTATAATGGTATCAGTGGTGTTTATTCAATTGGCCTAAATATCTGAGTGAGGCTGACCACTTCGGTCCTGAAATACTAGTGGAGATGAAAAGTATGAAGAAGTAATCTCAAATCTTATTTGTAACAGAAGAGGTGGTTGTCTTGATATCATAGTCCAATGTATAACTCTTTAGTATTTGAAAAGATGGATGCTGAGTCCCTGACTTTGAAATAATGTCATCATTCGTGAAAATGTAGATATCCCGCCCCACAGGATGAGTCCAAATTAAGAAGACACTTGCGTCTCGAATCCCACTGCTATTCACCACCGAAAGAAAGGCCTGAAAAGTGATTTACTGTCACTACATGCTGTACTAGTCTGCAGATGAAGACCTTGTTTGCCGATAACTTTCAAAGACAAACATAAAAATAGGAACACAAGAAAGTCTTCAAATGACATTAAAATCACAAATATTAGTAAACCTTAGAGAAATATATGTGTATGTATGTGTATTTATCGATCGTGGTTTTGAATTGAGTAAGTGGTATATCAACCTCATTAATGGCCAATCATCAGTGCGTATTTGTGAACCTAATTATTTACATTTCATCAGTGAGTGACATTGTTTTCCACTCACTAATTCACACTGCATATACTTGTAACCTCTACTACAACAAAAAAATAAATAAATAAATATATACACTTCACTGATTGGTTAATTTTACAAACATATCTATAAATAATACACAACTAAATTGTATTCTCCTATTATATCTGTGCCAGAAAAGTGATAATACCAAAAAAAAATGTCTAACCTTGAGAACTGAAAAGCGTATAACCTTGAGAGACTAATGGATAGTTAAACTGTGTGGCGAATTTTTAAACAAGGCAAAAAAATAAATATAATCATAATTACAACAATTATAACAATACTAATCTTAACATTTTTCATTACATTTGTAAGCTCTGTGCTGGCACCGTAATCATTGGATAATTTTCATAACTTATTGTTATTATTGTCATTCTTAGGAGAAATAAACATGGTGGCGTGATTTATGCATTCATGTATACATTATAAAACAAAAATACATCCTACACAATTCCACTGAAGATAACACAGTGATCTCAAATCAAAATAAAGCCGACTATAATAACAGGAGGATAGTCCATATGTGATAAATTCCAACTATACATCATTATTATTTCTGCATACATATATACATATATGACTCAAATGTCTCAAATATTTTCAAGAATCAATCAATTTGAATTTTGAATTCTTTCTAATTTCACAAAATTATTAAATGTTGTTGTCTAACGACAACAGATTACTGGTATACCAATTCACTTTCAATATTTATCTTTATTTCGCCAAGTGACTACACTTCATAAACACAACTTTTAAATAAAACTTGGGATTATTTTCACAATTACAAGAAGCTCTCCTCTATAATTACTATTGAGTCTTGAAAAAAAGATTCATTGTGTCAGTAAGTTCATCAAATAAACATAAAATACATGCTACAAGTTTCAATGGCATGGTAGTATTTTGACGATTGTTTAAAGATATGTAGTGTGCGAAACTAATTTGAAATTAGGTTCATTTTTGTATAACGGAGTAATATGCGTTGGGAAACCAATGAGCGATAGCATCATTCGAAAAAAGATTGTTCATATCAGATTTCTGTGTTAGTTTATTAAATTTATTATATGTAACTGAAAAGAAATCTTATTTGTATGACGTGTCATGACAGGAATTCATGAGAGACCTGAATATTTGAACAATCAAGTAGTTTTTACGAGAATACTCTGTTGGATCAAATTACAAAAACTGAGAGTATTTACGCGGAACATATAGCCTTTTAAGTCGATTTTGAAGAGAAGTGGAGGCCGCAAATTTCTGGCCATTGACAGAACAGTCAAAAAATATACTGCGTTTCTTGGAATTGTTTCTAGCTCATAGTTTCTGATGTGTGCCTGCCTGAATGTAGTTAGAACCAAATTAAAATATTTTGGCAAATAATATACACACTACATAATGGTTAAGATTTTATTTTGATAAATCACACAGTGTTGTACAGTTATATTAACTGATGACGTTTCGAGCACAAACTATTGCTCATAATCATATCAATAGTTTGTGCTCGAAACATCATCAGTTAATATTAATGCATAACACTGTGTGATTTAAAAAAATAAAATCTTATCCATAATGGAGTTATACTCTACCACAGTGCCAAAGTTTCATACCTATATCATTTAATGTTGTTGGGTCTAAAGCAAGATCCAACCCTTTAGGATGTTTCTCCTCTATTTCCTATTATATATATTATATATTTCTAATTTATATACATTTATATATCCGCGTTGGTGTATATTGTGATTCTTGGATATATGACTGACGTTTGATTTCTAATATTTATAAATTTCACAATTTTTATTGAACCAGAGAAAGACCTCTTGTTTCTAACACTCCACCATTTAAGATTATAGTTAGGGGAAAAACAGAAAGAAAACAATTTTAACTCTTTCAGAATAAAATTTGATGCTAACTAGTGACAAGGTAGAAGGCAAAGTTGCCTAGAGTTCCGTTGAGAAGTCGTGAACAGTGAGTTGACCACAACTGGAAGTGAAGGCGAATACTCGCCGATAACTTTGGCTGGTGATTGCACTAAAATCATGTATTCACAGAAGCTGGAATTCATTGGTCATTCGACTGGGTCCCAGTGGTTTAGTGGTCGAAGAGCTCACATTGTAACCGGAAGGTCTTGGGTTCGAACCTTAATGGTTGATTCGTACTGTGAAGAGTCTCAGACTAGGAGGAAACAGCTGCCAGTTACCTCTTGGTTTTCAATGGTTCTCAAACTGATATCATTTCGTGTTCAGACTTGACAAACAAGTTAAATCCCTACAAACTAACTCCTGGAAAGAGAAGTTTAGATTAGTTGAAACGAAGTGAACAATAATCATCAGCTCATTTAACACCAAAATTCAACATAATATAGTAAAATATCCGCTTTATATGAGTTTGTGTGGAGTAAGGGCTTTGCGAAGACTAACTTATGAACTGTAGATACAAAATTTCACAAATAATGATGTTTTTTCGACACGATGCGAAATTTGATCTCAGTTGTGTTTAAATACTAATCTGAGAATCCTGATTTCCTAAATGGACCAAAAGATTTATGACTTCTTAACTAATTAAATAACAACGGCGAACGCAGTGTGATAGCCAGTAGTGTTATTAGGTGGTATTTCTGGCCTACAGAAAAATACGAACCGAAAATATTTCCTCAATTAATTTAATAGTAAAACTTCTCATAGATTTATATTTGTCAGAGAAACATGAATGGATTTATAAAAACATGCTAAAAGAATACTTAATCAATTCAGTATGAGTTGTTTAAATTGTAGAGAAATGACTACTACGATAACAGTATGCTTGAGGTTGTATTGGATTTATCATAAGTTAATTTTTGTATCGAATGTATTTATTACTCCAAAGCACTCAGTATATGAAGTGATACAGTCGAAGTGAAAGCAATCCTATATTCTCTGGACTTACTTACTTGTTATAATTGAGAAAACGTATTGCACAATTTAACGTTAGTCAAATAATCTCATTCTATTCAGTAATAAGCTAGTAGTAGTCCACAGTTTTATTGTAAATTATTCAGGTTGGTTTCCGATAGTTATAGAATACATAGCAAACATTTTGTCCTTTTCAGGACTCGTTAGGCAGATGTTTCCGAACATCCAGTGACTGAATATGCTCCCAGTGTGACTAGAACTCGATACGAATCTTTTCAATAGCCAAACCACTATCTGCTAGATGGCTCAGTCTATAAAGTCTCTCATCACTCTTCTTCCTATTTGTCATATGTTGAAAAAATTGGTCATAGTATAACTCCCAATATAAACATTTTGTTTTACCTCTGAACTATATACATATGACATCGCGACAGTCTTTCTTATCTGGTGTCGGTTAGTCATTTATTTGTGTAATCCACGTCAAACATCTATTTTGGATGTTTTCAAGTGAACAATTCCCGGAGTTTCTAATATTCCGAGAGTAATATTTATGATTGTTTACATGTCTAACAGGGATTTTTTATGGTTTAATGATGCTTATAATTGCCGCACATATGTGCGTGAATATGTAAATGTTCATTCATATGAATCAATGTTCAATGTTTAAGTGTCTATTGAACATGTATGAAGTTTACAAGTACAGCATCGTTCACCATGTGAAATACAGTACATGAAAAAATTGTGGACAATTTAATCCGAATCAAGCTTTTAAATATTAAAAGTCAGGCATTAATTCTCTCACTTAATATGGAATGATCAATATCCTTACTAAGTCTTGTGATTCAGTTTGATTATAGAATGACTCAAACTGATCACAAGTAGAAAGCTTTAGAGCAGTTCATAAGTGTCACGTGACGAAAGATAAATTGGTATTGTATCATGTTATAAGACCATCATTGTGACCAAAAGAAACAGAAATACTTACCTTCTAATGACAATTCCTCCTACATATCCCTTACACTGATTATTACAACAAGGAATAACAAGTTCATAGCATCTGTAAACTTCATGCATTATTGATTCTTTTTGGTTTTAGGCGAACTTCAGCTTTATTCCACGTGGTCTTTGATAGATCTTTCACTTCTCAGAAATTCTCAGTTCATTAGAAATATGAATATTGTTAAGTATGTCTTAAAGATCTATTACTTTTCTCCAGATTAAGTAACCGAAACTGCTGAAGGAAATCTTTGATACAAAGTGCAGACATATAGCGTATGAAGTTGACAGGTAAAAGAAAAAAACCATTCTTGTAATTCCCTTTAAATATATGATGTACTGAACAAAAAGAAATACCTGAAATCACCAACAAAAATCGATAAACATTTTTGAATAGTTTGGTTTGTATAAAATAAACTCTATGTGACAACGTTTCAGTTAACTGTTATTGTCAAACAGCATTTCATTTATAAATACTACCATACTTAAATTCACAGAAGCATTAACATACCAATTTATCCATCTGCGAAAGAAATTCTAGTAAAATGATGAATTATATTCTCCATTGTTACTGTAGTTATAAATTATATTTACAAATTGAAGGCATATCTGTGCACTTCTCTATAGTGTGATGATGCGAATATGGAACAATAAAATGTGAACAACAGATAACCTCTCCTTTTACAAAGTGTTTATTTAACTGACAGATAAAGACTGAGTGATGTTAAAATGCATCCTCCAAGATACACCAATCTGAATCAGCGCCTACAGGTCACAAGTAAAATTAAGGCGTGTCTGATGTAGTAGGCCAAGTATATCGGTATAAAACCGTGAAGGTGTAATTTTATATGTTATACTCGGAAGTCTGATATCTGGATATAACTACCAAGCAACACTGACTATCACAGACTAGCAAGACTTCATCACTGAAGTGTATGCTTGAATATCACTTTTCATACATAATAACAAAGAAGATTTAATGAAACATGAAAATAGACAACACTGGTAAACTAATTAACTAATAATGTAACAATTACAGATTTCCGTATGTATGAGATGATTTTTGTTAAGCTTGTCGATGAAAGCTACAGTGTGAAATATTTACATATTTGATGAAATCTCTCAGCTTTAGGATATCACATTTCAGATTACAGTGTACATTATGTAACAATATTTCATCATGAACTTTTTCTTAAAATCTCAAAATTCTGTGTTTATTTCAGTGGCACTTCTTAAAGTTTAATCTTCAAATCTTTAAATATGCTACATATCAAGCCCATTATTATATTGTTATAATTCAGTGTTGGGAATAAAGTGTATAAGTAAATTTACTGTGTTAATTATTATATTTTAAGAGTAACTTAGTCTTCTAAATTAAGAGTAATTTGAATTCTTACAGAGTATTTATGTCAGCTAATAAAATTTGAATGAAGTATACACTAACTACAGTCTACTTATTGGTTTGCTTAAATATCTATTGAATTTTTATGCAGTACGTCCATAACTAATCTCAATCAAACGAATAGCCATACGCTAAAATCAACAGTCTGTGAATATTAACTGTATTATTCCTAAAACTAATCTTTGTGTGCATCTGGCATGTGTTTGAAAACACTCAGTTCACTAATAACTGCGGTAATTTTTTTCTGACAGTTAAACATTATATGATTTCACATGTCGCATTATTCCACATAATATTTCACTTATATAAAAACCACTTTTTTTATAACTCTGGCATAACTTGACATTTTCGTAAATCGAGAGAATATAGATTAGTCAAAAATAGCAGCTCCTAATGTCTAATACCTGTTGCGAATATTGACCAGATTTGTGGATTTCTTGTGTTTTGCATAAATTTGACATGTGAGCTGTATATGGTGCTACTTTTGTGGTAGTATTTTAAGGGACTCTTAGTACTGCCTCACAATAAATCCATTTGACACATAACTATGATTATAATGAT